CTGAACAGAGCCAGCGGGTATGGTTCCAGCAACAGGCGCTGCCTGTTTCCTTGGAGTAATGATTGATGGTGACTTGTACAAGGGCTAAGAGTAATTTTTTGCTGTTAACCAGGCTTGGCTACAGCAGAATGGAAGTGGAAATTTGTTGCTTCGTTTATTCATCCTGCCTCTGCTTCCTTCCCACCCACCCTTTGTGCGTTTTAATACCGAAAAGATGAAGCTACTTTGCTCACTCTTAGAATTGTCTTTCCCAAGATACCCTTAATTGTATCTCTACACCTTTTCTCATCCACAGACGCATAAGAAGATTAAAGATAGAGGGAGCAGTAATAGATTTAGTTAGGTTTTAATAGGATTTGCAGAGGACAATGCAGAGAATGAACGCCATAGAGAATATTGCTACTCTATCTTTGATATCCCTGAGGCTTCTTCGGTAGTTTTTCACAGAGATTTTGTCTGTGCCCTGCATTCAGAATCAAGACTGATTTTTTTTTTTTTCTTCAATAGTGCATGTGTGTTGTTGGGTTTTTTAGGAGCATCTAATCTTCTCTGTAAACAGGATGTTACATTTTAATTGGCAAAAATTGTCACAGCCATAATTTTATATCATTTGGATCTTGTTAGGCATAGTTTTCCATGTCGATAGTGGGCTTTTTAAGAGCTGTTACATTTCAAAGGGTGTCTGGTGTTTTTGTCTCGTGTCAGATGAAGCAAGGGAGTGGGTTCTGATAAACCTGATGAACAGTAGGCCTGGATTCATCATACCTTCAAGAAATGCAATTCAAGATGCTAAATTAAAAGCATATTTCACATTTGGAGCCCAGGCTCCCAGAATAATTTGTGGAGGGGGTACTTCCAGAAGGTGATTCAGCACACCTGAGATCAGAATGATCCCTGGAGGTGCCTTTCTCTGCCGATTGGAAGGGAAACCTTCATGCATAATTTAGACTTAGGTGACATTTAGCCTGACAGTGGTGCTCTGTTGATTTCTAAGGTTTCTCTTGGTATGCACCCAAAACCTGAGGCATCAAAACACTCTGATCCCTCTTGAAAATATATGTCAATGCATCTTTACTTTGCTCCTCATTATGATCTCAAGCAAATTTTGGGTATTAAAAAAAACCCAAGCAACTGTAACAAGGTTTACCTATTTCAGGACTCCCAGACCATGCTCATCACCATATTTTCTGAGGTTCCAGTAAAGCCAAGTGACTGGGAGCTGCTTCATGCTTGAAGACACCGGGTGTTAAGAATCAGTATTTAACATCCAGTTCCATGCAGCGATATATTAGCAAGAGGCTGTTGCGAGAGAAGCGCTGAAGCTTTTCAGTGTTTCCCAAAACAACACTAGGAAGAAAGACGCGGCCCTAGCGAAAAGCTTTCCTGGTGTAGAATCAGCCTGTAGCCAGCCCTGTGCCAGTGTGGGGCAAAGTTTGCCAGTGTACCATTCATATTTGCGATGTTAGTTGTCCTAGCCTGTCGTGTTGATTCTGCCACTAAAATGAAATGGCTTTTGTCTCAGCTGGTTTCTTCCCGTCTTAAACTTTATTTCTTTGTTCTCCTGCAGCCCAGCCATGGCCGGAGACTCTAGGATCTTCATGAACCAGGACATGGACATCGGAGTTACATCCAGAGAGCCTAAGAAGATTCCCAAACAGGCTCGGGATGATGTCCCCATTGCCACCGACCGAACCCGCCTCATATCAGCAGAAGGTAAAAAGCCACGTCAGCGTTACATGGAGAAAAGCGGCAAATGCAACGTGCACCATGGGAACGTCCAAGAAACCTATCGATACCTTAGTGACCTCTTCACTACGCTGGTGGACCTCAAGTGGCGTTTTAATCTTCTTGTCTTCACTATGGTCTACACCATCACTTGGTTGTTTTTTGGGTTCATGTGGTGGCTCATTGCCTATATCCGGGGAGACCTGGACCATCTTGAAGATGAGAACTGGATCCCCTGTGTTGAAAATCTCAGTGGATTTGTTTCTGCATTTCTGTTTTCCATCGAGACTGAGACAACGATTGGGTACGGCTACAGGGTCATAACGGAGAAGTGCCCGGAGGGCATTGTACTGCTCCTGATCCAAGCTATTCTGGGCTCCATCGTCAACGCATTCATGGTGGGATGCATGTTTGTCAAGATCAGCCAGCCAAAGAAGAGGGCTGAAACCCTCATGTTTTCTAACAACGCAGTGATTTCCATGAGGGATGAGAAGCTCTGTCTCATGTTCCGGGTTGGAGACCTCCGCAATTCCCACATTGTCGAGGCTTCCATTAGAGCCAAACTGATTAAGTCCAAACAGACCAAAGAAGGAGAATTCATCCCCTTGAACCAAACGGACATCAACGTGGGATTTGACACTGGTGACGACAGATTGTTCCTGGTGTCACCTCTTATCATCTCGCATGAAATCAACGAGAAAAGCCCCTTCTGGGAGATGTCCCGCACCCAGCTGGAGAAGGAGGAGTTTGAAATTGTCGTCATCCTGGAAGGAATGGTGGAAGCAACAGGTAAGGACTTGTCAAAAACCGGTCACAATTGTGAGGGGGAAGGGGAAGAATGGAGTGCAGTTTGGCATTGAGATTTTACTGTCAATGTTGCCTGGACTGAGAACATATTGGAATTTGTCCATCTCTAGTGACTGATTCAGGTGGGGTAATGTTGTCTGAGACAACTAGCAACTAGAAGACAGGTCCTTTAGCTCATATTTTAGTGTTTCACACTGTTTTTACAAGGGGTTAGTCAAGGTGCTGTCCATAATCACTTAGAACTGATCCGTGGGAAAAAAAGAATGGACTAAAGGAATTCTTGGGGTCCCATTTCTGTGATCAAAATTCATGGCAAAAATCTTTTTCCATTTCTCCTCTGTATTAAAAATTGGCTGTAACCGTGCTATTTTAGGTATTGCTGTGGTGTTGCTTTTTAATGGAGGCTGTGAAGGAAGTGCCCCAGTATTACTGTATCCCGTAAAACAGCACGTGCTGAAACCGAATGACTTGTACGTGATACAGGACGGGTACTTTCAAAAGGAGCTTGGTCAAATCAGGGCCTTTAAGGGGAATGGGACTACAGGCAGCACTGAGGAGAGAATTGCTATCTAGAGATGTGGAAATGTAAAAAGAGATGGAAAAAAGCTTTTAATAAGTAGGTTTGCCCTTTGGATTTTAGTTGAGGTGGCACTGTGAGCCCAAGGCTTTTCTGTTGGTGGTATCTGGGGTGTTTTCCATCTTGATGAGGCGTGGGTTCTCTCTGAAACACTAGCAAGGGATTTTCGGCTTGATATGAGTACCAGCATCCTGTGTCACAGATTCTGGCCCTTGCTTACTATTAATATTTTGTCTCCTCCTTGAGATTTGTCTTTGTTAGTCTCCTAACAGCCAGATGTAAAGGAAAATAGTCTCTCAAATTCTTGCATCGCAGACCTTCACTCTTAAAGAGCTCTCCAGAGAGCTAATTCAGTTTCCCGGTATCTCCCTGTAGTCATTAGGTGAATAGCAGTAGCTGACTTTTCCAAACAGAGCTAATGGGAGCTCACCTGTAGCCTGCACTGTAGCTAGGCTGGAGTCCTGTGCTGTACAAATGCAGTGCGTTTGGCATTAATAGGGAAATATTCCTCCCCAGCAGAGTACTGTAGAGATGTGGCAAAAGAAGGGGTGGGTGGAAAAGACTATCAAAGGCAAAGATTTGTAATGGAAGCTTATTTTGTAGCCTAAACACTTACTAGATAGTAGAACCTCCTAATCCGCACAGGGAATGCAGGTCCTTGTTTGTGCAAAGCCTCTTTCCTCATCACACAGTGACACTATCGACTCCTGTTTGAACGCTACTGCACTGCCTTCCTCCTAGGAGAGCTCAACCTCTGCTAGACATGTGTGAGAGGAAGTCATTACCAATAACAGCCTCGAAATTAAAAGCATGGCATAGGAATAATATTGCTTTACAAATGGGCTCCTTTCCCAGAGGGATTGCACAGGCCAGCGTGTAATGATGTTAAGGAGCATACATCTGTGGAAATGAATTATTCTGGTCTCAAAAGACAGGCTGTGAAATTCCAAAATTGGAGCTAGAAGAGCCAGTTTGCATTGAACTCAGAGCAGAGTGGACCTTAGCTGCTGCCATTATCTGGCTGGGAGGCTGAGATGGTTTTGGGAATGGCATATGGTAAGCGGGGAGGGGGTGTGTGCGGTATTTTGCCACCACGAGAGTGGCTTGCAGAAGCACAGTGTGTGTGCTTTCCTGCTTTGTCCTCGCACTTCGTCATGTTGATAAAGCAATTGGGGGGTATTAATCCCTACCTCCATACTCTGAGATTTGTTCCAAGCAAATTCTTTTGTTTGTTTCCTCCCTTTTATATTGTCCAAGCTTTCGGGAATGCTCTAATTTACTGGCAGTGTGACTTGTATTAAATCACGACACTGTTACGACCTGGTCAGGTTCAGGGCAGTATGAAAACACAGCAGGCCATCTGTTCCCCTAGCAACTCCTATAGAAAATGAGGAACCACCATCCCGGCGTTCAGAGGTGCGACTGGCCAGCGTGCGTAGCTCCGTTCACGGGGCACGAGAGGCGAGAGGGTCCTGGGAGCTGGCTGGGAGCTGGCTCAGCTCTGCAGGTGGTGGCAGGTGGAAACATGGATGGAAACTTACTCAGTTGCATCCTGCACTGGTGGGGAAAAGACAGATTTTTTCATCAGGTATTTAGACAGCAGGTCAAAATGGTGATTGTCAACATACAAATGACTGAGAGGAAATCTAAGTGTTATGTATTGACTAGAAGTGTGAATATTTTCCACCGAAACATTTGGGAAAGCAGATTTATAACTGTTTCCAATAGCTTTAACCAACCACATCCATATTACAAATGTAATGTGTTGTCTCCTCTCAAACAAGTAACTCTTCTCGCTGACATTTAAGTTTAATTTTGATTCAGTGGAAGGGAAAGATGGTAAATAGTTTCAAATGAAAAGTATAGAACCAATTCCAAAGAGCTAAGCCACTTCAAGTCATTGGTTTTTGTTACAAAGTGAACCATTGTGGTTTAAAACAATATTTTTGTTTTCAAGTTGACTTGAATTTCCTAAACACTTCAAGTTGTTTTATTTACAAAGTGAAACATTGTGTTTTAAAACCATGGTTCTGTTTTCAAGTTGACTTGAAGTTTTAAAAGGATAAATAACACACTGAAGAATAGCAACACACCAGAAATGTACCAGCCAGCCTAAAATGCAATGTTTTTATTTTGCCAAAAAAGCCCATCAACATTGTATTATTCTCACGAGAGCTCCCCGGGAACCCCCAGCCATCCTGCTGACTAACCATGAAGCCAGCTGCAGCACGGAGAGGGGTCTCTGCAATCGATATTTGCTATGCTTGGGACACTGTGACTCCACGAGAGGTTAAAAAATGGCAAAGGGAGCCTGGGTAGATCTGCTGTGATCACTGCTGGGTGAGATGACCACTGTAAAGACAAAAATCAATCCAGATGACAAGCGTTGTGACTTCCAGTGCTGCTTCGTGGGCATCTCGAAAGCAGCAGCATCACTCACAGCGCCTACTTAAGGAACTGGGCGCAGAGATTACTGTAGGGAACTAATTCCCTTTTGCCTTATTTGCAAGGGATGCTTGTCAAGAGCAGTTGGCCCAAATTTGATCTGCAGTAAAAGGGAAGAAAGTGAGGGTGGAGGAGCAGGTTGCAGAGTGAATGCGTTTTTGCTTTCAGTGCCTTTCTGCTTCCCACAGTAGCCACAAAACTTAGAGCCATCCTGTTAGGGGAAGAGGTCCAGGCTGTTGTTGGCCAAACCTCTTTCCTGTCCTCTCCTGCTCCTGAATTAGCGCAGTATATACAGCAGGGCTGCTGGAGACCCTGCTTCCGTGTGCGTGCAGAGTCAGCTGGCTGATGGTGAAGAATTTGGCTGATCCATTAGAGAGCATTGGACAGTCCAATTGGTTTTTTCCTTTTTTCTTTTCTGGAAGCCATCACTCCCTGTGGTGACGCAGCCTGCATATCCTACAAGGCTTTCTGGCAGATAATTCAAAGAGGCTCTCTTCCAACGTTCCCCTTCCGCTGCTGTTTACTGACAATTAACCAAAACCTGATTTATCAGTAGCTGTCCTGCAAAGCTCGTTCTGTGTCTGCCGTGTCCAGCGCTGCTGCTGTCTGGGCACAGCCACAGCACTGCTCGTTGCTTCACTCTTGGTCCTGGTTTTCATTACCTCTTTTCCCCACCACTGTTAAATAAGCCACAAGAGACAGTTCAGATGCCTGATTAATCCAGTCACAAAATGAAGTTTTAATAAACTCTTAGGAAAGTATAGGCATATAACGTTTCTGGCTTAGAGTCTGTGTGATAAAAAGTGGTTTAATGATTAGAAGTCATTTGCCTCATCCCGTCCCTGGGAGAGTGCAGGCAAACAGCAGCTTTTTTGCACCTCAATTTATCCACCTTTACAGAGGACATAGTAAAAGTTCCAGGCTGTAAATACAGGACCAAAAGAAGTTGTCACAATGTAAGATATCCTGAAATTAATCGTGATTTCCATGGGAGAACAAAGGAAGGATGAAATGGAGTTTTTGTGCATTCATTGCCTGTTTTGGGTTGTCTGGTTTTGTTTGCATTTTGTCTATAAATAAGTGTTCTTTTCTGCAAGAAGGACCTTGCAGACCTGTTACAGAAGCTGCTAATGTCCTTATAGGGAGGAGAGAGATGTCTCAAGTCCTTGTTTTGATGAGCTGGGTTGTCCTCCAGAGGTAGACGTTGCTGGGCTAGCCATCGTAGGTGCCTCTGCAGTCACCCTCAATGCATTTATGAGGGGCCCGAAGCTCCCTGATGCGAGCTTGGTGCTCAGGTTCTGCCTGGGAGAGACATGGCACTTGAATCCAAGATCTTTAAAATCGTAAGGTCCTTTTAAATTTTTTTCTTCCTTCATTTCCAGTGCCTAGGAGCTTTCACATGCCTGGAGAGCATTCAGATAAATTAGAATCCTATTACTCTCCTCTGGCACAAAAATCAAAGTGAATCAAGCCCAGACATGTCCTCCTCTAAAGAAGACAAGCACAAATAATTGGAGGACCATGCTCCTACCTTCTAATATTCCTTTTCAAGTTGGAGGAATATTGACTTTTTGGAGGTTACAGTGTTCCTTGGTCTAATTAACGCAAAGGGACTAATAAATTTTATAACTGTCCAAATGCTGATGCTAATCCAAAGCCATGTATTGCTTAATTAGAGTGATGGAACTTAAAATTTTTATAACTCCTACTCCTTGCCATCCTAACTCGCATCAGTCTGTCAGCTGCACCTCTGAGTCCGTCAGTTCTTTCTCTGTACTCCTGCAGCGCAGGTGGAGCTCAGCTCAAGGAGCAGAGTGTGTCCTCAGGCAGCTCTAGGGCATCCAGAGCAAGGGGAGAAGCCACCCTGCCTACAACAGAGCATGAGAACAAGGACAGAGAAGTGGACTCGCTCCCAGCAGTATGTGTCTGAACTGCAGAGAGCCCAGCAAATACGGCAAACATACAGTCAGCATCCCCGTGACATTTTGCCAGCAGATAATCGCTGAGCTCTCTGGCATTTAAATGAGGAGAGTTAATTTTAGGCTGGTGAAAAATGTTGTCTTGACAGCCCCAGGGGTTGGGATATCTCTGCCCACTGAGCGAGTTCAGGCCGTGCAGCAGTGCCGAAAGCTTCGGCTGTACCGCCGATGTGATCACGCTGGAGCCTGTGGCAATTTCTTGGGTGGGTAGATGATGCTTTGTGGTCCCCTTGCCCTCTCCCAGTGAACTCCCAGTAAAGGTACTGGTTATGACGGCATGTTGGACAAAAATGTGCATCCGCCAGCATGGAGAGAGGCTGCTGGTTCCTCTCCGGGTAACCAAAGGGCTGCAGAAGGAGGTAGATCTGGCCTGCGATAATGAAGCTTGATTTTAACTGGTAACCCAAGGGCATACAAGCCCTGGAAATGGGGAGCGGTCGCCACTTTTCCTGGCAGCGTGGCGGAGCCAGCAGTGGCTGCTCCACTTACAGAATCAGTGAAACCTTGGGAAACCTGCAGCTCCCATTGAGCGCGCTGCAGAAAGAACACGCTCCTTACTGAGCGAGCCATCAAATAACTGCTTTTTGTCAGCACATATTACCATTCCTTTGTCTTCGATAAAATGTAAGCTGCTTGATCCCAGGTGATTTTGCTGACAGCAAAGTGCCTTACTGGGTGAGTTCCCTGACCCCTGTTTTACACACCGACCTCTCCTCAGCAGCTCTCTGTTCTCAGATGTAATGAAACACCTGGTTTAATACACACAGCAATATATTTTGCATCTTTTCATCTACTGGAAACCAGAAACGAGGCATTTAGGAAGGCATCTATGGCTGTCTTAAACAGGAACATGCCCCAACTCAGTTACTGATCCTGTGATGTAGTGACTCCAGCCAACAGACCAAAACCCCACGGCTGAGGATTCTGCTGTAATGAAATTATCATTAAAACTCTATGAAATGTTTATTGCAGCACTTGAAACCAGCAGACAGTCCTCTGGTCTCCAGCTTTCTAAAAAGCCTGGAACTGGTTTCAGCTTTATTGAAAATTTGGTGCATCTGTTTATAACTTTGTACAAACTTTTTTTCTCTGGTTTCAGTTAAAATTGAGTTTTGTTTGCAACTGAGAGCTAAGCTGCTGCATGAAGAGATGAGAAAGCTGTAACTAAAACTTGAAAGCTGGAGATTTCGCATATCATTTCACATTTTCCACAACTGACAGATTGTAACAATTTATATTAAACATACTTTTTCATTTTTAAACCAGACTGTTTAGAAGAAAATTAAGCTTCTAATGGCCTTACTATCCAGAAAATCTGATACACTTGAAAAAGAAAAATCTCTATGACTTTATTTTTAGATAAGTTTTGAAGCATAACTACTTAGACAAAGGGAAAATGATGATATTTTTCTATTAATCTTATTTAAAGGAAATGCCCAAGTCACCAAATATCACTTCTCTATGCCTATACCACTTAAACCCAAAATGTGTTGTATCTGCTTTAAGAAAAGGATTAACAGCCTTTATCAGGGCCATAAATACTGTGATTATTTTTGCAAGAAATTCTGAGAGTTCGAAATCTAGATTTCTTGTGCTCTCTGAAATGTCAGTGCTTGGGGCAGCTGGAGTGGGGTTGCCGCTGCGCTGAAGCAGAACAGCAGTGGGATGGGGTGAGCGTGCGACGTAAGGATTTACTACACCCAGGATGTCCCATGGGCGCAGATAAGCAAGGGTTATGAAATGAAACCGCTGACCTTAGTCTAGCGCCTTCCCGCTGCAAGCTGGAACTTGGATACTGGGAGCTCAGAGGGCACAGCGCACGTTGGCTGCATCTGTACGCTCTTAATAAAAGTGAGGTTTATTGTTTCCACACCTCTTCTGTCATCTTTTTGCAGTTACAGAGGCACTAATTAGCTAGGGACAATAGAGATGCATTAATTAACCAGGCTGGGGAGCACAGGGCAGCCTGCAAAGCAGGCGCTGGATGAATTGGAAGCAGAGACAATGCCGTTGTTTACTTGGTGATGTCGGAGTTGCCAAGCAGTGTGTCCCCACGCAATTAAAACACCACTGCACATGTGCTAAAAAGGAATATTTGAATTGGATTATGGAGCAATTACAAGTTGTCTTATTGTGCTGGCTCCGTGTACCCCTGGGGTTACAGAAAGCAGCTACTGCAGGAAGCTGGCAGCGTTTGGTTGCTGAAAGCTTTCTGTTGTTCCTTCCCTAATGGAATACCTACAGCGGGAGATAACTGGGTCCCTGGAGCCCAGGGACACTCGCAGGTACTCCCCCCAGGGAAGGAGTTATTTCAGGCCCCCATTACAGGGATAGGGGTTCCCTTAGGATGCCTCCAGCCCTCACATTTGTCAGGGACACCCCATCTTGGCCTTGGGGACAGCTGCGTGATACCCATTCCCAGTTCATTCCCAGTGCCTCATCCTGTGAGCCTGAGTGGTCTCCTCTCCTGCTCTCTTTGCAGGGCTTTGAAAGGGCTCAGAGCTTGGGGGAGCCACTTGAAGGCTTTGGTGGAAAAAAAAAAAAAAAAAAGGGGTTAGTTTATTTTAACTGTCTCCTTACCACGCATCCACACGCTGCTGGTTGTCTAGCGTTCTGGCCTCCCAGCATGAGGGAGCATCAGACAATGAGATGAGCCCTGCAGCCCGGCACTACTGACCCTCAGGACAGCCTCTCATAAGAGCCCTTGCCCAGGGAGGTAGTGGCACAGCTCTCCTGAGAAAAGCTGCAGCAGGACTCAGCAAGGAGCAGGGCTCCGTGGGCTGCTCTTGGCTAGCTGATGAAAGGGAGTGAAGACTAACCAGTCTTCACCTGGAGGACGGAGGAGTCCAGGGCAGGCGATGCTGCACGTTCTAGTGTCACCATAGGGTCAGGAGTGGTCTCCACGCTGGTTTTTGCTTGTAGAGCAAAAGTGGGTGGTTTCCTGAAAAGATGTTGCACCTCAATAGAGCTTCTGCTTAAGGCAAAAACACTTGAGGTCATTTTCTTCTTCCATGATTGTATTTTTCATAGCAGCCTCTGCGCTTCCCGGTTCCTCCCGGTCCAGGAAGCAGGCACGCTGGAACACTGTGACTAACTCTGTACTTGTTCCTGCCCAGAAGCAAATACTCCTGCAGATCTTCTTGGGGGAAAAACACCCAATCCCATTGGACTAAGCATCCCCGAGGTACTGAAAAGCCAGCTTCCCGTATAAACCACCGGGAGCTGTGGCCCTCTCCAGCCTCCGGGCTGGCGGCTTAGCCAAGGAGGGAGCTGCGGGTGCTGCTGGAGATGAGGAGGGATGGGGTCAGACACAGGGAGCTGGAGGGATGGGGTCAGACACAGGGAGCGCAGGACTCGTTCAGCTTCGGGGCAGGACTGGAGGTGCGCTGGCAGGGTTGGGTGTTGCTCTAGTGCCGTTCACCAGCAGTGCTGCCAGTCTCAGCCGTGCGAGGAGCACCTCAGCAGAGCAGTGTGAGCGCAGAGACAAGCTGCTTAGTGGGACCAGACTTCAGAGCCGTAAGCGCAAGGTTCAGGAAGCAGTCTGAAGACGCGGCGATGAATCCATCCTTTTCCGTTTGAGCGCTGAGCTTGTTCATGATAGAGGCTTTTGTGAGGCTTGTTAAGCGAAGACCTGCTCTGTGTCCCAGAGCAATCAGGTACGGAGATAACACAAAAGTGCTTTTAATAGAAAGAAGCGGTTGGGTGAGCATGTGAGGAAGCTTTGCATTTAACATCCCTCTGTTTCTACCCAGGGATGACTTGCCAGGCTCGCAGCTCCTACATGGACACCGAGGTGCTGTGGGGACATCGCTTCACTCCCGTCCTCACCCTGGAGAAGGATTTTTACGAAGTCGACTACAACAGCTTCCACAGCACGTACGAAACCAACACGCCCGTGTGCTGTGCCAGAGAGCTGGCCGAGTCCCGCCGGGAAGGGCAGCTCCTCAGCCACCTCCCCAGTGCCACCCTCCTGAGCGGAGGCAGAGAGGCAGAGACAGCGAAGGGGGAAGAGGAAGAGGAGGAAGAAGGCAAGGAGCCAGCAGGATTGCATGGAGCCAACGGGACAGCAGGAGAGGTGAAAGGTGACCTGCCTGTATAACACACCAGCTGGGGGACACTAGACACCCCGTACACTCACTGGGAGACTGGCCCGGAGGGTCAGGAACTGACTGGGAGTCAGAGAGCTGAGATTTGCCTCCAGATCTCTGCTGCCTGCTGCTTGATCCTGGCCAGTCACTGCACGGCACCGTGCCTCAGTTTCCCTCCCGTTTTCTCTGTACTGTGGGGCTCTGAGCTTTGCACTCGTTTGCGAAGCGTTTTGATCTCTATGGACAAGGCTCACTGAATATGGTCACTGTTAAAACTGAAATTCCCACCACTAGTCGTTTCAAAAGCTGTTCACTGGACTCTTTCCTCTTGAGAGGGTGTTTAAAAAATAAAAGTCGAGAATGTCCCATCTCAGTATGAAGAATGTGGTTTCGTACCTTCACTGAATTTGTGAGTCAATGTATTGTAGACGTTGTTACTGCTCAATTAAAAGAAGAGGAAAAAACCTCTCTGGTATGTAGTGAAGTGTTTTGTCTTTGTGATTTATTTTTTTTTAATTGATTTTAGCGTTTTCCTCCAGGATCACAGTCATTGTGCTTTGTTTCCTGGAAAAGGTCTGATGTTACCAGGTAAGTTTCCCTGCAAACCTTTCGCGTGTCTGTCCAATGTTTTTGACTGTCTTCTCAAACTGAAGTGCTATCTTTGTGTCCCCTTTTAATGCAATCTCTGACACATTTCCTACGCTATCCATGATCAGAGCAAGCTTAGATCTTGCCCTAGTGAAGCCTTTTCCTCGTCTCGATGTCACAGTTTCAGTTCCAGCTGATGATTTAAAACACAGTAAGTAGCCACGTGGGAGTTTGAAATGTTCTGGGGTTTCAGGCAGGGTCCCTGGAGTAGGTAGGCTGGGTAAGTAACAGTCTGAAAAATTTGGAGTTAAAGGTTCAGATGCTGATGTTCCTACAGCTGATGGGAACATGCACGGATGTAACCGGAGCCGTTGGGTCATGCAAAGAGCCAGCGTCAGCCTGGCCTCCCGGACACGGGAATTACCAGCACGTTATACAGCCAGTTTTGAAGTGAAATAACTTCGTTCAAAACGCTCGTCAGTTCCAGAAAGCATCTTGCAGGCTTGCAGAGGGTAGTATTTTTCAAAAAGGTCTGGGTTTAGGCTCAGCTGCTTCTTCTCCCATCCTAAGCCTCAGAGGAAGAGAGGGAAGAAAACAGGGAGAAAAATGGGAGAGGTTTCTTAGAAGGGTTTGTTCTTTGTCTGAGACCCTCGCTTCTCACCTTGCCTCTGCAGAGTGATTGCTGAATGGTGGAGCAGGCTGCAAATCCATTGCCGTGCGTGGGAAGCGAGGCAAGAAGGGTATTTCTCCCCTCTTGAGCAGATCCCTTAAGCAGCTGTGTACTCTGTTGGCTTTGTGGCTTCTTTCTGGGTTTGAAATTTGCAAATATGTCTTAAGTACCTTGTTGGATCGATGCTTCAAACAGCGCCAGTGTAAGCAGTAGCCAAAGAACTTCCCTGGCTTCTAGGAGAAGCATCCTCCTGTGTTTATTAATCAGCTGAGCAGCTCTGGGGGATATCCTTGCATTTGAGATATAAAAGGTGGGGAACCAAGCTGTGTAGCGTGGCAATCGGTTAATGAGCTTGGGCAAGGCGATCCGGTTGTACCCGATCCAAAGCGTTTCGGGCAGGCCCCAGGACTGTCCTGTGCTCTCCTTTCCCAGAAATGGATCCCAAGGAGAGATTTAACTTAGCATATGGAACTTCTCTGAAAGCAAGGGAGAGAATTTCTTCCAGAATTGTCATCTCTGAAAATTACATCAGCCTCCCTGCTGTTCCCCAAGCACACGCAGGACAATTACCCATGGGGATAAAAGCATAATAGACCCACTCTGCTGTAATGAACATTTAAATACAAGTCTGCATCCCTTATGGGAGTTGGAATAGCTCCCATAGATATGTCCACCCACATAAATATCCAATATATACTATGCACTCACCAGCCTCTGCGCTTTCAAAAATATTAACTAGTACTCCACAAGAAACATTTATAACCTGTAAACACACTATTCATGAACAAATAATCATATTTATATAGCATAGCCAGTAAACAAGCTAAAAATACATATTCAAAACATTGAATAATTACATCTGCCTTATAAACGTATCACTGATAAGCAACATTCCCAGCAGCATCCCTCCACAATAGCGTGCGCTTGGGTACGTGTCCAGAAAACAGCTGCTCTCCGAAGCTGCTCGTGTACACAGCCTGTACCCAGTTATTCACAAACACACCCCCACGCACACTTCCACACCCGAATTTTGCATTTTAATCCTGCATTGTCTCTCTGGCAGGAGAACCTGCATGTCCAAATGATTTCCCACCACCACCCAGCCAAACCCTGCATCCCTGCAGCCCACAGCACAAACCCATCCCGTCACCCGCAGCGGTGCAGAGTCGGGAAAGCAGTTTAACTCCAGGGGTGTGTTTCTGTCCTGCAATCATTAATGAGAATTTTTGAGCAAACAAAAGCTAGATTTGGTGTTCTTTATTTTTTTCCATGTGGCAGGATAGTTGGGAAACACCCTTCTGATGCAGGAGATGTTGTGAGCTGTGAATGGAGAATTGCTTACAGTAAAGGCTTTGTCATTCTGCTCGATTTCTTTTTTTTTTATGGTTTGGGGATTGGAGTGGGAGGGAGCCCTGCAAGCTGAGTAATTTATCCATTTATCGTATCTGCTCTTGTGCAATGTCACTACAGCTCGTGTACGGCCAAGCTGACCTGTACACCTCGTATTCTTTTTTCTCCTGTATGAGTTTCCATACTTACACTTATTTAGACTATTCCTTTTGACTTGAGTATGTTTCTTAGACTGATCTGAACAGACATAAAAAATCTAGCTCTTACCTTGGTGGTTGGTTCCAGGGGTAAATCAACATGACTGTTAGAAATCTACCTTTATTTTTCATTTTAATTTGCCTGGCTTTACCTTTCGCTCATTGCAAGACCTGTCACTCATTTTTAGGCTTCAATTTACCCCCTCATTTTTCTCTCTCACTTGCTATTAAGGATATATTTCTGTTAGAAATAGCGGCTCATGAAGCTGCGATAAGAGGGAATGTTATTTATGCTGAAGTAATTAATACCCTGCGATAAGCTGCGTGCACTGCCAGCCGGGTCTCTGCAATATAGGAGAGGAGGCATGTTGCCAGGGTGTGTTAAGCAGCAGTTGGGCGGATGATGGAGAGGATGCTTAATGAAGTTCCGGGGAAACTAGGCAAGCTTTCAGTCCGTGCATAGAAGTGGCAGCAGTTTCCATTTCAAGGCTGGTGAAGGTCTGATTCTGATGTTTTGACTGACATCACTCCAGACTATATTTCCAGGGATGCGTGGTCGTTTAGACAGGTGGGAGGAGAATCTAGGTGTTGGCATTTTATTGTACGAAAAAGTCAAATCCAAATTCTGATTTCATTTAGGGCGATGACTCTCAGGGAGATGGGGAGACATTTTAGCGGAGCCCATGGGTCCCTCTGCTTTGCCAACACCCCGCAGAGCTGAACTCAGCCCTTGAGTCCGAGCAGGTGTGCTTTCAGGCAACGGAGGGGAGGGTTGTGTTTTCAGACCTTGTTGTGTGTAAGAAAACATGTACAAAGGTGGCTGGTGTTGAACAACTGGTGCTGGTGGAATTAATTCTGCTAAAAGGTAAAGCCTGATGCTGCAGTTTGTCATCTGCCTTGCAGGACTGTCCAGGCATCCTGCTTAAGCTACAACCAGGTACCGCAAACATTCAACCCCTTTCCCAAGAAGCATGAAATCTAACTAAAGCCCAGCTGAAATCTGTGTTTCACATGCTGGTATGAACGCAATTGTAGAGCGACTTCAGTGAAGCCACTGGTGCAGCAAGCACTGGAGGTTACTGGTGTAAGCAAATGGAGAATTTAGCTCGGTGGGGTGATCTGGAGGAGTGAAAAAAGCAGTCTGGTTTAATTAATAATTTAATTATTTTGGTTGGTTTAGTGAGATCAAGACATGAAGGGGTGAAAAGGCTGTAACGTTCTGCTTTTATTCACAAAATATTGACTCACAGTCCATCTTTAAGTCGGGCAGAGAAGAAAATCCGTGAGCTTTCCTTACCTGGGTGTCGAAATGAGACGGGGAGTGCAGTGTGGTGTTATTTCCTCTCTGTTACGTTCTCAGTAATTCCTGACAGAACAAGCCTGGCTTTGTGTCTGGCTGGTGTGGAGTCACTATCGCTGCTTCTGCTGCAGAGAGGGGGCCGGTGTAGCACGGGGTTTTGTTTGCCAGAGCATGGCGAGAGCTCGGTGCCTCTGACCCAAGCCATGGTTGGCGTCGTCAAAGCGGGAGGGACAGCGAGTGGTTCCAGCTCCCCAGGTCCCGTCACTACCCAGTGCACGTGGAGTGGCTGCTGGGTTTAACCCAGTCTGAGTTAATACCAAATACAGCAAGTTATTTAAGGAAGGGGGATTCAAAATTGAAACAACTCTATTCTTTCAAGCCTCATCTTGTAATTGAAATATTCATAAAGCTCCTTATTCAGCATAAGACCATCGCAGGAATAGTTCAAGGATTTCATGCTTTTTGCAGTTACAATGTGCAGATTCAGCAGCACCAGCCTGCATTTTATGAGTGCAAATGCTTCGTATTTTTGACCCATCGCTCTTTCAATGTATTTTCCTTTAGGGGATTTTTCATCAGATTGAATGAAATTGTGGTTTTCTAATATGCACAAACATGGGCAAGGTTGAGAAACCACTGAACTCACTGTCCTAGTCGATTAAGAGTTTTTTGGGGTCATATCAAAAAATCCTGATCTTAAAATATGTTATTTTTAAATTTTATCATGATCTTCAAATCCTGCATGGATTTAGAGCTCACAAAAGTAAATGCAGATAAAGCCAAAGGTTAATTAAAAAATTCTATGAGTCTGTGTTTCTATCCCATAGAGGAAGGAAATGTTTTCCCCTTTCTGCCTTTGTTACGCAAATATCCAGCAGTGCATAGCTATCCTTGTGTGCTGCTAAC